AGTACAAAGACTTTTTGAACATCAAAAGCCGCAGCTCACAGTTTTGTTTCAAGGTCTTCCAGTCTGGTCAGGTTTAAATAGAAAGAACCCTCAAGCTGGTTGTCTCAGAAATAAATCAATGCAGATAATTAACCTATTATTATCATGAGAATTGATTAGCATAAAGAAACAAACAGTGGAGCTATCATACACACCACATTTATACTTGCTGTCCACATGTTGCACCTATTCCTCCACTCTTTTTCCTCCAACAACCATCAGAATAATTATTCTCAAAGAGCATTAGCTACAGCTCAAGCTGCAGGCATAATTTACACTTCCTTGGAGACCCAATTATAGGTTATAGGAAACAGTTCTGAAGACAACCTCCCACTCTACATCTTCGTACTTATATAACATAAACACCTGCCTTTTGGATCTAGCAGCTGAACAACAGAGTGAGAAGGGCCGAGTAACTTTAAATCCATTTTAAGATGACTAAATATACACATTATGAACAGTTTCCCTCTTTAGAATTACCTTTCTACTTCCCTTTTTAGAAATAAAACATGTATTAGGTATTAAGTGGATCTAATTAAAGCAAATGGGTATTCTCCTTCAGAATTAATAGATGTGATAGATTGCATCACTTGCCTTATATGATTGCATCAAAACAAGGTTATTTGGATCCTGGAGATATAACAGCTGTAACACCAAGGCGGCCAAACTGTACTCCACTGTAAGCCTGAATATGGTTTAAAGAACTCTGTAGATGTGTTGTTTGTTGGGTTTTTTTAAACATACAGACTTTGTACAAGATAAAGCACTGTGTGTTGACAACTGGAGTCTCCTTAAGCCAGTACACCATACTTCTTATGCCGAAACATCATACTGAAAATGAGCCTAGAGCCAAAGGAGTCCTAGAGCTCAATCTTTTTCTGGAAATAAACCCCCTTGAAGATATCTCTGAACACATTAAATGCGAGTGTGACCAACGCTTGGCTGAGTTTTGGATATGCCTCGCTAACAAGCATTCACAATTAGGGATCCACGGTTATATATAGCACCTACTTTACAAGCTAAAGAAAACTGTATATTTTCAGCTGGAAATAATAAAATGCAGCAAGTGGACATCTGTCACCAGTTTAAGTCACATTTGTTCTCTTTAATAGTCTGTTTTCTCTTAGTTTTATCCGATCAGTTTGCATTTCTCTAATAAATAACCCTGTTACATTTCTTGGCATTTAAGTGGGGATCTCAGACCCTCTCTTGCATGTGGAAAACTAACATAACGCAAGTGTGGACAGCTTTTGACTTATGCACAGAATGTGGATAGAAATTATGCAGTCATTTTCCATGATTTTTCTTATCCAACCTGGCGAAGAACAAAAGGGCAAAGCACATTTTTAAAATAGAATTTCAGAAAAAATAGCTCAACACACAAGTTCAATACAAAAACATGATACAATTAAATCTACCACTTCCCAAAGCAATTTACAAAGCTGGGCAACTACTAATTGCGTTTTACAAACATAAAGTGTAACTTACAAGTTAGACAAATTATCCAATTCAGTCAAAAAATGTAAATAATACCAGGGCTTGGTATCAGTTAGCAGAAACCCGCAAGGTGTGCCAGTACATCTTTCCTGATCTGCCTTGTTCTCAGGGGTCTAAACTGTTATTGAGCAGTGATTACCTGTGATTTTTTTTTTTTTTTTTTTAAGGAAAAAACCCCCCAACCTTCGAGCTGAGACAGTCTTGCAAAAACATGAACTTCTCACAACAATGCACCTCCACTGGTCCTCATTTAGCTACTTTTGAAATTAATATGTTGGTGATATTTAAAGCACTAAAACAATTTAAATCATTGAACATCTTGTGGAGAGGAAGATCTGCAGATAAAGGGTAATTTAATTTTGGCACCCACCTCCAATTCAGAAAGGAGGAATAAGCACAGTTGTTCTCAGGTCTAAACTGTTATTGAGCAGTGATTACCTGTGATTTTTTTTTTTTTTGTTTTAAGGAAAAAACCCCCCAACCTTCGAGCTGAGACAGTCTTGCAAAAACATGAACTTCTCACAACAATGCACCTCCACTGGTCCTCATTTAGCTACTTTTGAAATTAATATGTTGGTGATATTTAAAGCACTAAAACAATTTAAATCATTTAACATCTTGTGGAGAGGAAGATCTGCAGATAAAGGGTAATTTAATTTTGGCACCCACCTCCAATTCAGAAAGGAGGAATAAGCACAGGAACCTGGATGAATCTGGTTTTGAATGTATTCAGAACCCAGTGAGAAAGAGCCAGACCCAAGAAGCCAAGGCAGCATGCAAGAACCATTTTTGTATGTTTTCACATTTTATTGTGAGTGGCAATTCACACAGGTAGGAGCCCAGGAAAGTCCTCATCTGAGACTTCCATCTCAGGAGACGGGGGAATTTTCTCTCTCTTTTTCTTACCCCGTCCCTCTCTTTAAAATTATTCCTTCCCATGCAGTAAACAGACTGGAAGCACACAACATGTAGATCTGCAGAGGAGAAGAATGTGGATTCTGTTACATGAAGAGAGGGAATAAAAAAAGTGACACTGGCCTGCAGAAAAAGAAAAGAAAGACTGAGAATCTTAAAGTCCCCTTCATATAAGTAGCATATGTAGGAGCCAAACTCACAAAGATAATTTTCTTTTTCCGCTCAAATTACTTCCAAACTCTCAGTTCTCACAGCTTTGAGTAAATTCTGATGTATATGCAGATTTTCCATAAGAGCTCTGGCTATCTCAGAGCTTTCATTCATGAGTCATCTTAAACACATACAGGTATAAAAGTAAGTTTCCAATATCAACCCCCATCAAATATCAGGACCTATATCAAATTACCTCCACCTTCTCAGCAATCTTAACACAACATCAATAAACTAGAAAAGAGCTTTATGTTAGTACAGTACTATTTATAGTAAAGCATACCAAAAACCACAAATTCATGCATGCTTTTGTAGCAAATGTCAGATTGACTTCACTTAGAAATATATTCACTTTTTCCATTCTTATATTTTGCTTAAAGAATTCATAGTGAGTAAGGAACACATTTTTCTTACAGGCAATATTTCATGTTTACTCTGCTAAAATGGTTTAGCACTTCCATTTAGAGTTTATCATTGGCACTTATATATGATCATACTTAAAGATAACACTGAAAATTGAGTCCATATTGCACTGCCCATAACTCAGCAATCGGTGCAGATAAGACAAGCAAAGCTTAGCATCATGCCATCAGAAGATTTCACAAATTTAGCCTGGCTGACCTATGGTGATTGCAGTTTCAGTCGTGGACTTAAATAAGAGACACAGATGTTTTGGTTTTGCTGCTCTCCTTGCTCATTTATTAACTGAGTCTCTGCACCTGGTGTCTCACTTCATTTACTGGGTCATCACCATTCGTTATTTCTTTTCTCTAATCTTGCTCTTTCCCATAGAAGTTCCCTGTCTACAAGAGAATGAGGAAGTAAACAGAGAAACTTCAAGAATACAGAAATAAACTAATATTTGTTCCAATTTGCTATAGACAAATAATTCCCTATCCACTCAGGAGCTTGAAGAAACATCTAATATTTTAACAACTCATGAGAACCTCTAGCTGCACTTCATCCAAGATCAGCAGGTGATATAACTTCACTTTTCCACTTGGCAAACAGAAACAAGGAGGAGAGAGGAATGGCTTAGATGTCAAATGAGGATACATAAAAAGTAATGGAGTGGTTGTTTTCAACAGCGTTTTGTTATAAAGTAGGTCCCTCAGACTTTAAGCCCACTATGATTGGGCATTAAAAATTTTCAGGAGACATTTACTTGAAATGACTGCTTTGCTCTCTTTGTCTTCTTCTCCTACCTTTATATCTTTTTCTCTCTGTACAGTACACATAAATAGCCTTTCTCCTTTGCCATTAAGTTATTCCCTTTTCCTTTATCTTTTGTGTTTTGCTAGCCTTTCAACAGTGATCTCCTAACACTGTTTCCATTTGTTCTCAAACCTGATCTTGTCTCGTTTATGTTATCTCGTCAATTCATATTACCATCACCTCAGGGAAGGTATCTTCTCTTCCTACATGTTTCTAAAATCTGCTATGGAAGAGATAATAAATGATGCCTCTTATTCATCTAAAGTTCAAAGCCTGTGAAAATACAAGTAATCTACATGCCTTTGCTCTTCTTATAAATTAGTAATGAGTCTGGAATGCTTCCCCATGGCAATTAAGACTCATTCAGTTAAAGTGACTGTATTCTGTGATCTAAGTCCTGTTTTATTCCAAAAAAGTTACATATTTTCTATTAACATCACTACCAAAAGCTGTACAAACAACTTCAAGATTTCAAAAGCCACAGTCACAAAACGCTTCTTGTCCTCACTAGTTTCCTCAGCTTGTTAGGGTGGGTTACAGTATATCCTACAGTCAGAAGGGTTCAGACAGAGAGAAACCACATTTACAATGAGATAAAAGGAAGAGTTTCAGTGCACCACAATACACATATTCTAATAACAATTATTGTGACCTCTGTTAGGAACAAAGAACCGGATGTTTTTGTGTTGGTGTTGGGGGGAGGCACGGAAGGGGGACGGAAGGAAGAATAAAACTACCACCACAACCTGTACCATAGAAAGGTCCAACATGTCCAAAAGGCTGGATAAAGATGTAGCCTAGAAAATACCTTGTAGCATTTATTCACTTATTAAGCTAAGCAAATCAAATATTCATAATGTTACACTTGAAACTTAGCCCATTCTGGAAAATGTTAAATGTTGCCTGACTGTGTCACTTCTCTTCAAAACATTGCTGTTGGATGAAAAAAATAATGAAGGAGGCTTGTTCCCAATCCACCCTCTGCTCATACAAATCTTGAGTCTCCTAGTTTATTCTTTTAAAGCAGTGCTGTAAAGGAATAGGCTACAAAAGTACTTCCCAATCCATCTATTTTTATAACACTGTAATACAAAGAGCACAAGCCAGAGATTCTTAAATATTACCTTCGTATAGAACTTCGTACTCAGTGGGAATACAGCTATATCCTTGAATCAAATCCGGAAGACAGTCCTTACAGAAGGAATGAAGGCAAGGTAGCATTCTGGGGTCTCTGCTCCGCAGGTCCCATTTGCACACCAAACAATTCCTCAACAGATCCAGGGTGTCCATTTCTGTTGGCTGAAGTTTCACATCGAAAACACGAAGAGTCACAAAATGGCTCATGACAGCCCCTTCACTTAACAAAACACTCGATCACTCAAGCGCAAACTAGAAGGCAACAGTGGGATGCACATTCTCAGAAACAACATTTATTTAGTCCTTGTGAAGAGGAAGTTCCTTGCAGCTGAAAATCACGTACCTGCTTTACAAAAAAAGAATATCTTTGCAGATTGTTGTGCAGGAAAGTGTGGTTTAAGGTTTACAAACCATGATCCCACTATCTCTCTATAGTACTTGCAACTTGTGTAAAAACTGAAGTAATCTGTTCTATTGATCTACTTACAAAGCTGTTGCCAGGCTGAATTGTCACACACTGTACATTTCCTGCTAGAAGCACTGAAACCGTGCAATAAAAATTACAATATTTTCTGACTGCTTTTACAATTTCACCTCAATATTTTATAGTTTTCAAGTAAAGCAAATAATAAGCGTAACTGATCATACATCCATCACTTCAGCAATGCATGTTAGAAAGCTGCCTTGATAAATGTACAGCATCTTCTGCCAATCTTCTTTATAGAAATTTAATAAAATGCATTTTGCAGTAATCAAATTTCAACAGTCAAGATGACCACAGATCAAATTATAGACCAAACCTGAGCTTCCCACAAGCAGGACAGTGCTCCTCCTGCCAACCTAAGCTCCCCAAGGTAAATTGAGAGTTTTGCAGTTCATGTTCCATCCTTGATTCTGAGATTTTGAGAGATGTTGATCAGCTACAGCCTGCAAAGGGAAACTTTTGTAAGTTGCATCAGAGGAGAAAAAGCAAATAGAGTCTTGTCTCCCCTGGAATCACCCTTCTAGCTGACCGAACCTCCTGGGGCCAGAGCCCCATGTAGCTGCCCGTTGCCTTGGCATGGTGGCCTTGCTACCAGCAGTACGTAACTTGCAGCTACGATCTTCAGATTTCCCCAGCACAGAAGAGTAGCAGCTCTAATCTTAGGGCTAAGTATTCTCTTGAGGCATTATGTCTCGGGGCAGATTCCAGTGGAAATGGTTAGTAAGCAGGTCTTTTTCTTTTTTCTACAATGCAAAAGAATTATGAATGTCTCAGAAATTCACAACTAGGGATTTTTTTAAGCGTTGCATCCTGAAGTTACTGCTATTTAAAATATTTTAGAAAAAATGGACCATGTGTTAAAGTCTGCATCATATTTCATACCCAAGACCCATTCTAGGAACAAATGAAAATAGGTGGATATCCACAAACTTTACTGAATTCACTTAGACAAATTCAAACCTACCACTGAAACTTATGGGTGTAATTTCAAAACTAGAGGTCCCTTTAGAAATGAGCTGTGGTAATTGTACCTGTGGTTTAACTAATGAACATTATATCAGCCCTTATTATATGAGCTCACTTTTTACAGTGCATCTTAATCAAACATCTTTCAGAGGCAAATGTCATCAGAGCAGCACAGCTGCTCAGCTCGCTCCGTCTCTATTGTTTCTTGCAAATACCGTTGCTAAGAAGCCAAACAAGCACCTACAAAAACATGTAATTTCTGCAGTAGGAAGTTGAGGTCTTAGACTACCACATTGTTTAGACAGAGAAACCACAGCCCAGGACCAAAGCATCCACGCTCAGAGAATCAGGGCAAACAAAGCCTGGTACTGGGAAATGCTGTATCACCATAAAGGCCAAACCTGTGGCTGAATGAGAAGCGGGTTACCATACATTTTAATTTATGCTTTTTGCACAACATATGAAACTATGTACAAGTTTTTTCGTAGGAGGGGGAAGGATGAGGGTGATAAAAAGTGTTTAAAATTTCCTGCTGACACAGGTATGCAAATCAGCAGTCAGGCAGGTACTTTACCAGTGACTTGGCTACGCTGATGGGAAACACCAAGTCCAGCAGCAGTGATTACAAAGAAAATAAACTTAATTGCGTTTGGAGATGTGTGGTGAGGGTAATGAGGCAGGATGCAGGACAGAAATGGATGAAGACAGAACAGCTGTGGAGGCAGCCGGCCAGCAGAGAGTCACACCTGGAATGGGAAGAAAAGTGCTGGGCTCTTGGTGTGTCAGCCCAGACGAGGGCAAAGGAAAGGCATGGTGCTGGGGGGCTGCCTCAGGACCAAAAGATCAGTCGTGGCCTCGGGAAGGCAACGGCCACCCCAACACAAATCAAAGGGAAGCATCCAGGCATCACAGGACTGGAACTTCCAGTAAAGCATTAATACATTTCATACAAGAGAAGTTTGTAATGATGCACTCTCATAACTTTATCATTTCTGTATTTTAGGGATAAACTCTCTATGCAAGTCTTTCAATTTCCTGTGTTCCTTTTTCTCAGATTTAATCAGATGATTTTGGGTTTTTTAATCTTCTTCCCTCCATTAAATGTGGATGTTGCTACACGAGGCTCATTACAGCATTTTAAAATGTTGTAACATCAACTTTACCAGTTTTGCCTATAATTGCTTCATTAGCAGTATTGTAAGTTGCAAAGAATTTGGAAAACATCGAATGAAAATAAAAATATCCCCATCAACCAAAGCATAATGTTTCTCAGTTAAAACAAAAAAAAAAACCCAAACAAATTAAAAGGAAGAGGTTTTACATTTAGGAAGTTAGTTGGTCTTCATTTAGCTTCCTCATTTCTCCTGTTTTTATACAGGAAAATCCTTTATTTGGACACCATGGACAGCCATCCTGGGGGTTTCCCGTCAGCCCTGACAGGAGCTCCTTGTTAAGCCGGTAAACGCAGTTTGTGTGTGATTACTCAGCCCTCTTACACCTCGGAAGTGCTCCCCGCCAGTGTTTCACCCCAAGAAACGGCGGGGTGCCCAGCGGGCGGCAGAGCCTGCCCGGGCCCCTCAAGACCCCGCCGGCGTGAAGCCCCGAGGCTCAGGCAGCCGCACCGCGCCGG